GCCGACGTGGGATCGAAATCCTACAAGGATGTATTATCTGCTGGGTTAAAACCTAAAGTCTCCAGTGTGGACACTGAAGGTTTTACAACAGTAAATCATAAAAAGAAGCCATCTTCTGGGACAACCCCGGCCAACACAGTTAGACAACGCAGACAGCCGTTGTTAGGGGTGAGAAACTCTGCTTCTCTACCCATTGTATCCAAAAGGGAAAGGTCTAAGGCACTTTTTGTCTCACGATTTAGCCCTGAGGTCACGGCTGCTGACGTGGATAAGTCTTTAAAAGCGCAGTTAAGCATCAAAAGGTTAGTCTGCACTAGGCTTAAAACAAAATTTAATTCTTATGCTTCATTTCACATTTCGGTCAATGAAGAGGATTTTCCCCTTATAAATAACACCGGAGTATGGCCAAATGGGTGCCTGATTGCTCCCTTTTATGGGAAACTAACCCCTGATCAGGTGTACTCCCCTGATGCACCTCTTAGTTCGGTACCTACAACGGCTGACTCTGACTCTGCTACTGCAATGAGCCCTACAACGAAGCCAACCAGCACTTGTGAGGATCTTGGGGGAAGCATCAATACCGCCTAACTATGCCAGGTAATTGTTGTGCCACCATTTCGGATCGTCTCACCACGTCTGGTTCTAAGTGTTTGGATTCTATTGATATCTTTTACCAAAATGTTAGAGGTTTGCGTACTAAATGTACCAACTTTCATGATAATGTCTGTATTAATGATTTAAAAATTATATGTATTACCGAGACGTGGCTTAATGATTCGTTTTGTAATCGCAATTTGTTTCCTGATGACTATCTCGTTTTCCGCGCTGACAGAGGTTATACCGATCTCAACTTAACCAGAGGTGGTGGTGTTCTGACGGCAGTTCACCAATCTCTGGCTGGTTGTAAACGCAGGTATGATCTTGAACTTACCAGCGAATGTGTTTGGATTGAAGTTCCACTTCCTGATGGTTTCAACTTACTCGTTGGAAACCACTACTTTTCA